CTTACCGTGCAAGCTTACGGAGCAATCTTGCGATAATCTTACTGTGCAATCTTGCAGTAACCTTACACTGCAATCTTTCGGCAAGCTTACCATACAAGCTTGGGTTAGGTGGGACATTTGAAGCTTGCGGCAAACTTGCCATGCAAGGTTGGCAATATTGCGCGGCACGCTTGCCGCAAGGTTGCTGCCAGCTTACGTGCTATCTGGGTATTGACAATCCGGAATTGTTGTGTGGACTTAATTTTTAGTAACTACGACAATTCTTTTTTCTCCGAGAAGCCTGATATTCTACTAACACTTCCCCATCTCCCCGGCTGAAAAAACTTGTACAAGAAAATGAACAAGTTCTTGTACATGTTCATTAATGAACTTGTACATTTTCTTGTACATGTTCGAGTAATGTTCTTGAACAAGTTCAGCATCCGGAATTGAGACATGTTCTTGTACCAGAACTTGTACAAGATCCTGGACAAGAAAATATACTTGTACAAGAAAATGTACATATTCTTGTACATATTTTTTTGTGCAGGTTTCATTACATTTTCTTGTACCAGATGTGGAACATGTTCTTGTACATGTTCACTTATGTCTTTTAAATTAAAAATTAAAAACTTTAAAGGCTGCGCAGTAGTTTTTTTAAGCCTTTACAGCTGCGCAATAATTTTTAGCATGCATAAGTGAAGATTCTTAATAATTATAACTTATTAAAATTTCAAATTTTTTTCAAAAACATTTTTAAACAAATGTTCTTGTACAAGAACATAAACGTGTTCATGTAAAAGTACTTGTACATGAAACCTGCACAAAAAATATGTACAAGAACATGTACATTTTCTTGTACAAGTATATTTTCTTATCCAAGATCTTGTACAAGTTCTGGTACAAGAACATGTCTCAATTCCGGATGCTGAACTTGTTCAAGAACATTACTCGAACATGTACAAGAAAATGTACAAGTTCATTAATGAACATGTACAAGAACTTGTACATTTTCTTGTACAAGTTTTTTCAGCCGGGTCTAAAGTATCACATTCATTGTAAAGAAAAAACCTAGTCTCATTTTTGTTGACAGATCAAAATGAGCCAATGATCAACGACATAGACAATGGCGCCACCAACCTGGTTCATTTTTGTTGCACATCAAAATGAGCCGCCTACACTGCTCATTCTGAGTTCAGTTTTTTCTGTGTGCTGTGGACTTAAATAAAGAACATTATATCTGAAGTCAATAAAATGTATAATAAAGAAGACCTGCAAAAAGATTTAATGCTTCAACTTGTACAATTTAGAAGATTAATTGAAAAGTATATTATAGATATCGGCACCGATGACAAAAAAAGTGAGTACATGTTTCGAGGTTAAAACCTACAAATTGATAATTGAAAAAGACATGCAACAAGTTTTTCCGAATGTTTGTATTCTGATAAAAAAGAAACGTACGTTCTTATGACCACAAATTGTACTAGTAAGAGGTCATTTTTAAAACTCAAATTAATAAAAAATCGATTGAGGTCACCAATTGGTCAAGATCGGCTTCATCATTTTTCAATTATGAATATTTAAAACTATATAAAATTAGCAATAATAGTAATTGCAGAAAAAAAATTTTTAATGACTCTTCATGTTACGACTTTGAATCGTAATGGAAATTAAGTTTTTATTTCTAAATCTAGTATGTAAAAGATGAAATGTATAACTGCAATTAAATCTACGTGTTCTTTTGAAATCTTTTGTTAATTATAATTTCAGTAGTATATAAATTAACTGAAATATGGATTTAATGTATATATATATATATATGTTATTTTCATTTAGAAGTTATTTGTAAACTTTTTATTTCATCTAATTACTTCATGAATGAAAGAAATATAAAATTATACCGTCAAATGAAAAATGCTTTAAAACAAAAAATTGAAAATAATTTCATAGTATGAACACTTTAAAAATAACTTAAATTCATGCAAATGAATAAAAATTGAAAAAAATCGAATTTGTAGTTAATATTTTAAAAATATATTTTTTCTAAAGTGCCCTTTTTCTGTAGAATCACCCATATATATACATGTATACACGCATCGCTTCGTCGTCATTACTACGGCCTGGGAAGTATATGTCGACTTTGCCTCAGTAAGTCCTACTAGTTGATCTGCCAATTGAGCTAGTTAACACTAATTGATCTAAATTGGTTGAATTGGATGTAATTGTGCAAAGCGACAGGGAACCTCCAATGTTCAAATATCTACGCTTCTACGGTTTCTTTTACAAGTATCACTGTATAATGTTAATGTGCGGATATGCATTAGTTTGCTTTAAAAATTGGATAGTGAAAAGTATTATACATTTTTTTTCTATAAAAAATATTTCTATAAATTAAGAAAAGATTTTTGTCACATATGCTATTGATTTTAATTTTGCCATTTTGTTATATATAATGCCTAAATTAGCAAAATATCGAATTTTTTTAAAAATTCGAATTACAAACAGATCGAATTTCTAAAATATTAGTTTGAATTATCAAAGGATTAAATTTATAAAAGTACGAATTACCAATAGATCGAATTTCCAAATGTTCTAATTATATATATTTTTTTTTATTTAGATTTCCTGCGTACACCTTTTTAAGGTTTTTACGCTCTCTATACCACATCTTTAACCTCACCTTATGTTCTAATTATATAAAAAGATAAAAAATTATGTACAATTTTTAAATTTCGCGCACAAATGTGCATGCATGCAGAAACATTTGGTCAGTCACACTTCAACGAAATCTAGTGAATGTTTAGTAACTTTCTAGTAATTTTCCAAAAATTTCGATTGTAACTAAAAAGTTACTAAACATTCACTAGATTTCGTTGAAGTGTGACCGGCCAAATGTTTCTGCATGCATGCACAGTGCATGCATGAGATAGTGTGAAAGTACCCTTAATATCGGTTTTTTTGAAATCGTGTACCCCCCTCCTAGCGGCCACACGAATTTATCTGGAGGGCTGAAATTTGGTACACATATGTATTTTTGCGTGTAGATTACAGGAAAAATACAGCGAACCTGATTGGAATTGATTATCATAGCGATGTCAAGGAAAAACCATGAATTTTAAAGAAAAAAAGACTATGTACCCCCTCTCTAGCAGCCACATCTTTTGACATAGAGAGCTCAAATTTGGTACACTTATGTATTTTCACGTGAAAATATAGGAAAAATATAGCGAACATGATTCGGATTAATTTAAATAGCGTTGTCAAGGAAAAACCATGAATTTCGGAAAAAAGCGTTTAATCTCCCTAGCGGACACAATATTTAACCCAGACAGTTCATATTTAGTATACAAATGTATTTTTACGTGAAAAATATAGGGAAAAAAACCGGTCACGATTGGAGTTGATGATTAACTTTTTTTTAATTTTTCAAGAAAAAATGACAATTTTAGAAAAAAAAATGTATTTTTTCACCAAAAACGAACAAAATTTTATATAAAGGAATTCAGATTTATATATTTTGACGTATTTTTACGTGTAGATTACAAAAAAAAAATATAGCGAGCATGATTGGAGTTAATTATCATAGCGTTGTCACTTACGTATTTTTACGTGAAAATTACAGGAAAAATATAGCGAACTTGATTTGGATCAATTTACATAGCGTTGTCAAGGAAAAATAAAAAATTTCGAAAAAAAATGGTTTAATCTCCCTAACGCACACAATATTCAACCCAGACTGTTCATATTTGCTGTTTAAATGTATTTTTGCATGAAAAATACAGGGAAAAAATGTATGCACGATTGGAGTTGATGATCAATTTTTATCAAATTTTTAAAGAAAAATGATAATTTTAAGAAAAAAATGTATTTTTCCGCAAAAAATATAAAAAGTTTATCTAACGTGATTCAAATTTATATATTTTGACGTATTTTTACGTGTAGATTACAAAAAAATATAGCGAGGATTATTGGAGTTGATTTTTCTGGTGCTATCAAGAAAAAACTGATAATTTTAGAAAAAATCATGAATTTTCTCCCAATAACAAAAAAATTTTATCTAAAGGGCTTCAAATTTATTATTTACACGTATTTTTATGTATAGATTATAGAACATGATAAAAAGTGAAAAAAGTGGACTTTTTCCTTGATTTTATTTCTTTAGTCGTGACAACTGCAAAATAAAAAAAATCGGACAATCGATGGTTCCGTACTCGAAGCGAACTTATTTTGTATAAAAACAAATGTTTAAAAAATATGTGCTGTATGTCTAATAATGTAAGTGATACAAAAAGGAACAATTTTGTAAAAAAAAATTAAGAAAATTGTTCCTCTTAAAAAATATATGTTGTATGTCAAATAATTAATGTAAGTGGTACGAAGAGGAACAATTTTCTTAAATTTATTTTACAAAATTGTTCATTTTTATATTACTTACATTATTAGAGACATACAACACATATTTTTTAAACATTTGTTTTTATACAAAATAATTTCGCTTTGAATACGGAACCCTCGATTTCAGTGCGAGTGTAACTCGCACTTGTCCGATTTTTTAAAATTATGTTTCAATTGTTTAAACAATTTTTTTTCATAATTTCAGATTTAACTAATTAAAATTTAAACGTAATTGACTACTAATTCAGGTAATTTAAATTTTTTAATTTAAATTGTTTTACAAGCTACTTTTTATTAAATTCAGCTAAAATTATTTAGTTTTTTGCTTTCTTCTTTCAACTATCTTCATTTTATGCATTTATAATTTTCAACATATTTTTAAATGTTTAAACAATTCATTTCTTTTTAATTTGATTTGCTGTAAAATTATTTATCGATAAGGACAATCCATGTATCATATCGATTGTAGAAATGATTATTCTAAAAAGTTTTTTTGTCGTAAATATTTGAGAGCGGAAGCTCTCGTTTAATTTTACGATCACTGCGGTCACTGACGTAAATAAATCGAGGGTTAGAAGTCAGCAAGGGAAGTGCTTTCTGGCATATGTAATCTGATGGGATTCCCACTTACTCAGTAGGACTGGAAGACTTCTTATTTCTTAGTGCCTTCGCAATACCGGGTCAATTCTTGTATAATATTATTTATATTAATATTTTTCTTTTGTAGCTTGACGTGGAGCCTTATTTGTGTCTACCAATATCAAAGTTTGGTTCTGTCCTGTGATGTGATGATTTTGTTTATATGTAATTGTTTGACTGTGTTTACGTTTGTCTAAAGATATATGTCAGTCGTGACATTCCAGTAAAAAAAAAAACTAATTCAGATGAAATGAAATGAATTAACTTTTTTGGCAAGGTCCAATTCGTATTTGTCGCTAAGAAAGATTCAGTGAAGTCCTTTGTATATTCAATTCAATTCGTACCAATGACTTTTCATCGGTTGTGAATTCAAACAAACTGACCAACTCGTCTATTGAATTTGTGCTGACGAATTGAAAAAGATTAAAGCTCAATAGTTTGTTCATTGAATTGATACGAATAGAGAGTTTGGAAGTTGAACACAGCTTTGTCGAATTCAGAAGAATTTGCCACGTAGCTCCAATTCGAATTTGTCGCTAAACGAGATTCACTGACGCCCAGAGTGTATTCGTTTCAATTCTACTGAATTAATATTTTCATTTGCTGGGATCACACTCGGTTGGTAAAGTCACTGAAAGTAGAGCCTCAGTGGGAACAGGAATATCTAAAAGAAGTCTTTTTTGACCGCGGATATCGGAACGTTGAAGAATGTCTATGGCCTAAAAAACGTTCAAAAAGACGTCTTTCAGACATCTTTGGACACTGGAGTAGGACTAGTCGCAGTAAAGGAGAAAATAATTGCATAAGGGCTGGCAAAAATAATTGTTTCAATTGCTTAAAAACTGGACATCATTTTCGAAAGTGCATGTATAACCAAATGTCTTGTATTGGTTATATATTTTTTATTCTCTGAATTTATAAATAATAAATGATTCTCAAAAATTAAAAGTTATATTAACAATTATAATAATTTTTAAAAAATGTCTCCTTTTTTCATGCAAATAACATACAAGTCTGGATCAATACGGTAAAATAAATGCGACTAGGTGTTTACGAAGGAAGTTTTTGCGCTGAACATGAATCTGATGTCCGAAATGCTCCATCACGTAAGGTTTTTAAGAAGATTAGGGCTGAAACCATTCAAAATGCCGTTTTTTTGACACTTTTTGAAACATCGAAGGGCAAAATTCTGACGTGATAAAAACTTTGCTATTATCAGAAATTAAAGCTTGAATCGTTCTCTTTCAAATAAGCCCTCAGCCGACTCATATCTGTTTTATAAAATGTAATATCTCCGAAGAAAAAATGTAAAATGTTCTATTAATCATTCTCGAACATTGAATAATCATAAAAAAAATCTAAAACATCTCTGTATTAGAAAAGAAAGTAGAATTAATAAGTTTGTCTTTCATATTTCACTGAAATAAAATGCGAAGTCCAACACTTCCATTGTATACAGATTTGAATTCCAATTGATGAAGGAGAGATATCTATTTATGGACGGAGATGCAGACCTCTAGAAAAAAATAATAATTAATTAACAGCAACAATTGTTGCTGTTACCTAATTTGTTGTGAAGCGTTAATGTCAAATCACGTTAAGCCGGAAGTCATTGGAGACCTTCCATGAAAGAAGCTTCTTCATCCATGTTGAGGTAGAATAATTAATTGAACCTTCCACTTTTTTCCTATATATATATATTTCTTTTAAATTTAATTATATGTGATTTAACTTTTATTTTAGACTATTGAAGAACTACCAGAAGTGTTGCAACAAAAGCGCAGAGATCCTAGTTAAATATGTTTTACCAGACGTTCATTTGAACGTTCAAAACTTGTAGATCATATCAAGAAACTGTGATTTATCCAAGTATTAATATTAATACAAAAGGGTATACCCCGTTTAATTTTTTTTTTATTTTTTATTTAGATTTTCTGCGTACACATTTTTAAGTATTTTACGCTCTGTATCCCCTATCTTTAACCTCAGTTCTGAAAACCCCAAACCGCGGTCCGTAGTCAACTTTTATTAGAAGTATTCGCATTTCCCTGACCCTTTCTGGATCAGAGTAACGGCAAACCTCTACTGAATACAGCCGGTTTATTGACTGTCAAGTTATAAATGTACATTTAAGGAAGTTCTCTCGCAAACAGAAATGACGAAGAGTTAATTATCAAACTTGATAAACTGATAGATAATGGTTTAAAGAAGATGTAGTTAAATTTTTAGAGGTCTAGGTGGATTTTGACAAAAGATATAAATAATTTTCTCTTTTCACATTTAACACGGGTTCTTATAGGAAATTGAATTTTTTGGTCTGAAATCTCAAATTGTGAAAAATCTGACGAAAAGATATTACTGGAACTTTATATACATAAAGTTTAATAGCCAATGTTCACTTACTTTTAATAAAATTGATCATACCTGGCTTAGGAGACTCACAATTAATTATTTTGTCTAAAAAAACACCGTATTTTGACAATCAGAAATTACTTAGCACAACGCTTGGCAACGTTGCGTCTTGTAGGTTAGGTATAGAAAAAGCGCGAAATTTGAAAGTAATATAAGTAGTATATACATATAATAGTATATTCTTCAAAGATTCATAATAATGAATAATAATTTGAATTTGCTTATAAAAAATTAAGATTTTTAAAATAATAAATTATTATTATTATTATTTAACGAAAATAAATCAAACAATAGCAGACGACAAGAAACGGAACGGGGGAAATATAATCCAACGTTGCCAAGCGTTGAGCTAGTACTACGTGATACAAATGAAAACTTAAATGGGCATTGATTTGACTGACGTTGGAGGGAGAGAACTTCCTTAAGTAGTCATCCAAATACACAAACATATTCTCGACGACAAATCTCTCGCTAGATATATCTCGATCGCAGTGAAAACACCAGGGCTACAGCGAGCACCGAAGCGGTCACCCATCCAAGTACTGGTCGTACTCAGCTGTGCTTAACCTCAGTGATCGCAAGCCAAGGCGCTTCACCGTCCGATCTATATAATCGGTTTTATACCCCGTTTATAATTAAATAAATTATATATTGTTGAAATGCCAATATGTATTTAATTTTCTAAAAAATTTGTAAATTTATTTTATTTTTCCCAACAAACTTATTTGTAAAATTCGCATTACAGTCGGGCTCCATAATAACGAACACCCATAATACTGAACGTACAAATGTAACGAACGGTTAGGTACAACTGTAATGAACGAGAGTATCCCCACCGCGAGTCACACCGGACGTAAGCAAGATGCGTCAAATTTTAAAAAAGATCACAAAATACAAATATTTTATATAATTTGACTAATCATTTTCTAAAATAATGTGCACATAATAACCTTCTTTATTGATTCATTAACTTATTGACACTATCTATATCTCAAATTTATCACTGTATATTTTTTGTTGTTAAACAGTATCTTTCAAAAATGTGGATTTTATAAATGAATTAAATTTTATTTATCTAATTATTAATTGGATAAAGTACAAGTTGTTGTATTTGATTTGTTGTACTTAACCTTAAAATTATCACATGGTGTTTACAAATAACTCCCATACCCAAAATTCCCTTAAACTTGACATTCTATGCTGTTAGTTTAAAGCGTATTTACATCGTTTTGAAAGACATAAAAATGTAATAAATAAGATAAAATAAAATAAAATACAAAACCTATAACTCACATATAATTAGCAAAAAATGATGTACGATGTTACAAATTATTAAAAATATCTAACAAGGAAAACTTCAAAATAATGAATTATTACTCATAATAATTATCCATCAGAGACATTACCCTGTCGGATTAGGTAAACTGAGTTATAACCGAATTGAAACTCTTAAACTCTTGAGTATCAAATGTGTAAGTGAAAAAGTTTTAAAAAAATAGATCGATGTATTAAAACAACTTTTTTCAATAAAATGGTAATATACATATATAGTAACTCAACAACTGTATGCTTGTGTACCGACAATAAAAACACATTATAATAATGAATATTTTAGTATATTTAATTAATTGAATAACTATCATTGACAACAAATAACAAACATAAACATTTGAATCATCACTTATTTTTAATTATACATTTTTTCACACACTTTTTACCATTTCATCCAGTATATTCGCAATAAAACATTCATTATTCCAATGACAGGTTGTCATTGTACACTTTATCCTAATGAAAATTCTCATGTAGGATCTTATATAGGATCTCACATAAATTCATATATTAAAATCCACATAAAATCCTATGTGTCATGTAAGAAACTATAATATAGGATCTTTTGAAAAATCATATAGGAAATTGAGACATGATTTGAAGTGGGATTCAATGTAAGTTCTTATAAACGTATTCTTTGGTTATAAATTATGTAAATTCCTATGTGAAATCCTACAATTTTTTCTAGTCACATTTTTTCCTTCAATTTCTTGCTCAATCCTTAACCAGAAATTTTCCTATATCAAATCATACATCAAATCTTTTTTCGATTCTTGAATAAAAAATTATTACAAAATATCTGACATGAAATCATATTAAAGGTGCTTTTATACCTCAGACAAAGTTAAAATGTTCGCGATTACCGAAAAAGATATTGCATTTCACGATAAAATAATTCCTGCAGATTTGAAAACTATCCCACAAACAAAAAAAGTTTTTCAACTAATTTGGAACCAAGAAGAAGCAGAATCTTTGTATCTATCTTATTTATCCTATCACGAATGCATTTATTCACCACCATGCAACCACTATCAATTAAAATAAAACTGTTTTTTTTTAAATTTTTACTTAATTTTCGCGACGAACATTTCCTGAAAATTTCATTTAAATTTTTAGTCAACTTTTACGCCAAACATTTATTTTAGTGGGACATTTAAATCTTTATGGAATTTTTATTAAACTTTGCAATTAAATATCCCCAAGATTTCAAGGAAATCTTTATGAAATTTTTAGTAAAGATTAACTGCTGTGGGGGTTATACTATTTAGGGCACTGGTATCGTTTGGCGGGAATTTTTGAAAGTGTTATTAAATTATCAGTACACTGAAAAAGAATTATTTGAAACAAATAAAAGATTATTTAACTAATATCAAATAAATAATTATATTTATTCGATAAAAATTAAATTACCTCTCACTGCGCAGAAATAATTTTTTTTCAGTCCACTGAGGCCTATAAGAAAATTAACATTAATTATAGAAATAAAATTTTTATTTTTTACTATAATTATAATTACAATGTGTAAATATATTAATCACTTTCGCTTGAAAGATAATTATCAAAATCATTGACATCTTCTTTTGCCATTGACTCGTCACCTGCAAAAGATAAAAAAAAATATTAAACTTATAAAATTTATATTCTCACAAATACTGACTATGAAGTTACAACTTGTATGAGTATTCTCTTTATTACCTAATGGCGTTTAATTTAACGTGTCCTGCACGATTTTCTTTGGTTTGATATGTTTCTTTTCTGCAAAAAATATAAAAATATCATTTGTTGTTATTAGAACTAATTTTCGCATGGAAATTATCAATGTAAAATTATATTTATAATAAACTTACATGATCATCAGAAGAACGCAAAACTCCTGAAGAAGCATACGGACTTGGTTGACTAATTCCTGAATTTTCGTATATTTTTAATAAAAATTAAAATGAATTATTCTTGCAATTTTATTTTAAAGTTTTAAACACTTTTAATATTTAGAAAAGAGAAACACAACGTGCAAAGGGTTCTGAAAATTCCCAAATTTATTTGTAAACAAACAGATTAAAAGAACTTTTTAATTAACTATAACTATTAAAATATTAAATAAAAATAAAGTACTGGACAAATAAAGCATTTTATAATCAAACCTTGAAATTCTTCAAAGCGGTTTTCAATTTTAGCGTGGAGTTCGTCATTTTTTTCTTTTTCGAGTCGTAATTCTATTCTTTCTTCATCTACAATTTTCAATTGATTTCCTAATAACTTTGTTAAATTTTCAACTGTTTTCTCGGCTTTTAATATTCTTAAAATACAGTGATGATTATTACAAATCTGATATTCTGACTGTAAAATAATTGAATCTGCAGATGTGACAGGTAAATCGCCGTCAAAATATATTTGTGAATCATAAAATTCCGATCGTTCTCTTGAAGTCTGTTTTGAATGTGAAGACTGAGTCAACTGATAGATGCTTGAATTGCTCGAAGTGAATTGATGGTCATTTACGTTAACGTTCTCCTCATTTTCCGAATTCAAAATTTTGCCATTTATTTTGGAATTCGAAGTTGCAGTATGTGGTTTAGCCATTTTGGGAGATGTAGATAATGAAAGCGTTGGTGATATGGTTTCTGTTCGTTCTTCAGATAATTTGACTGTTTTTGAAAGCAAGTGACTGTTGTTTGAAGTAGTCTCTGGCGGATCTTGAAATCGGAATGTACGCTGAATTCGTTGTACATTCGTTACACATTGGTTAAACATTTAGTTGGAGTGAAAATTGTGTAGAAACTGAGTGGAAACTGTGGAAAAGTGTAATTGAATTGAATAATAAAAGTATTTAGTGATAGATTTGTGCTGTATTTGTGATAAATTAACGTGTTATTATTAAATAAACAAAGCTTAAAGTGTAAAATTAAAAAGTTCGGGTAAAGTGACTTTGAGAGGCTAGGGAATTTTCTAGTGACATCCAAATTGATAGTCGATAAAGAAGTTGAGCCGCCGACTTTGCACGGTAGGTGGCAGCATTCATACTTTCTCCTTTTTAAAAATTCTCTTTTTCAATTGTAAATAGAAAAATTAATTAATTAATAAGTTATATAGTTTCTATGTTGTCATTTTTTTTAACAATTGAATTTTTGAAGATTGTTTAATGAGATAAATTAAACTTGTATAATCGATGCAAATTGTTGTTTTTAAAATACTTTTAAATAAATCTTTTCTTTTAATTACATTTATATTAAAAATAAATAATAATAAAATAAAGAAAGATAAAAAAAGTTTTCTTTATTAAAATTATGATTATAAATTAATTTAATTGAATTTAATTAAAAAACAACAATTTGCATCGATTATACAAGTTTAATTTATCTCATTAAACAATCTTCAAAAATTCAATTGTTAAAAAAAATGACAACATAGAAACTATATAACTTATTAATTAATTTTTCTA